CGAGGGGTCAGATCTACCCGACGAAAGCAAGTGGGCTTGGTCGAGCTTCGATTGATTAAACGTTTTCAAAAGTGGACAAGGGGAGCGAAGCCCCGAAAATTTTGAAAATTTAGGGGTTTCATAGGCTTATTTAATCGATTTTAGAGTCTACTAGTATGTAAAAAATACATACAATTTGTTTTCTCCCAGACGACTTGTGATTTTTCTCCCCGACAAGGTTGGGGGAAGCTCTCCCCGACGGGGGGTGGGGGAGCTGTCCCCGGCTCCTCGCTGGCATCACCCCGTATGATAATGTACTTTCTATTATTTTTTTTTTGTATTTTTGACGTGGTACAACACACGCTAGTAAGTAGTATGTAACATAGATAGACAACAACAACGTCGTTCATCAACATATCAATAAGATCATCAATTATAATATCGATTGAAACGTATTGTTAGTTGGATTGTTAGTTGGTGATGAAGCCTTGTCGATGCAACGGGCGAAACGTTCAAGTATTGTATGTTGTTATGGTTTCAACCTATAGAATTGATGATATTTTGAAATATTCTGAAAAACTGTAAGAACATAAATCATCATAAAAAAGGTATCGATCTGCTGAAGTGAACCGATACTGTATTTCAGATTAGTTGTGGGAAAAATAATTACTTTTACCGACATTTATCACTGGATCACATGTTTTTTACTGGGCCAAATGTTGTTTACGTAGTTCCGCATTCAGTAGCCATATCTCAATTTATATAGAACAACAAAAGTGCAACTTTCATACGATTTTTAAGCACATTCCGTGTTCTGATACAGTCGGTTAACACAAACATTCGATTTTCGTCAAGCACACTTGGTTTTCGTTTTCTCAATGAGTTACAGTAAAATTATTTCTTTGCTGCAGCTGACGGCAAAATATGTTGTACTGTACTCTATTGCAAGTCATGGTAATTTTTATTTTAAAGCAAACAAAAACGTTTTCCAAAAAAAAAAAATGATGGAGAGAAATACAAGATATTTCCCCATACCAATTAACACTACTAATGTTTTATATCATTTTAGTAGTTTGTAAATATGTGTCCGTTATGAAAAATGATATGAGACTGCTATCAAAATACACTGTTAATTTTAAGGAGTCAATTTAACTCCAAAAGTGGAGTTAATAAAAAAGGTACAGAACGACTCCTTTTCTGGAGTAATATTTACTCTCATATTTTTACTCCCCAAAGGGAGTAACATTTTATTTATTTATTTATTTATTTATTTATTTATTTATTTATTTATTTATTTATTTATTTATTTATTTATTTATTTATTTATTTATTTATTTATTTATTTATTTATTTATTTATTTATTTATTTATTTATTTATTTATTTATTTATTTATTTATTTATTTATTTATTTATTTATTTATTTATTTATTTATTTATTTATTTATTTATTTATTTATTTATTTATTTATTTATTTATTTATTTATTTATTTATTTATTTATTTATTTATTTATTTATTTATTTATTTATTTATTTATTTATTTATTTATTTATTTATTTATTTATTTATTTATTTATTTATTTATTTATTTATTTATTTATTTATTTATTTATTTATTTATTTATTTATTTATTTATTTATTTATTTATTTATTTATTTATTTATTTATTTATTTATTTATTTATTTATTTATTTATTTATTTATTTATTTATTTATTTATTTATTTATTTATTTATTTATTTATTTATTTATTTATTTATTTATTTATTTATTTATTTATTTATTTATTTATTTATTTATTTATTTATTTATTTATTTATTTATTTATTTATTTATTTATTTATTTATTTATTTATTTATTTATTTATTTATTTATTTATTTATTTATTTATTTATTTATTTATTTATTTATTTATTTATTTATTTATTTATTTATTTATTTATTTATTTATTTATTTATTTATTTATTTATTTATTTATTTATTTATTTATTTATTTATTTATTTATTTATTTATTTATTTATTTATTTATTTATTTATTTATTTATTTATTTATTTATTTATTTATTTATTTATTTATTTATTTATTTATTTATTTATTTATTTATTTATTTATTTATTTATTTATTTATTTATTTATTTATTTATTTATTTATTTATTTATTTATTTATTTATTTATTTATTTATTTATTTATTTATTTATTTATTTATTTATTTATTTATTTATTTATTTATTTATTTATTTATTTATTTATTTATTTATTTATTTATTTATTTATTTATTTATTTATTTATTTATTTATTTATTTATTTATTTATTTATTTATTTATTTATTTATTTATTTATTTATTTATTTATTTATTTATTTATTTATTTATTTATTTATTTATTTATTTATTTATTTATTTATTTATTTATTTATTTATTTATTTATTTATTTATTTATTTATTTATTTATTTATTTATTTATTTATTTATTTATTTATTTATTTATTTATTTATTTATTTATTTATTTATTTATTTATTTATTTATTTATTTATTTATTTATTTATTTATTTATTTATTTATTTATTTATTTATTTATTTATTTATTTATTTATTTATTTATTTATTTATTTATTTATTTATTTATTTATTTATTTATTTATTTATTTATTTATTTATTTATTTATTTATTTATTGTTAAGGCAAATTTTACAGATTTTAAGTATTATTTCAATTGTTCATTTTATTATTATTTTACGTGTAATCGGAATAGTGCATTAGGATGAAAGTGAACCAAAGTGATTTGGTTCACTTTTAGGAATCCTGTCTCGGCCTGTTTCAGATTTGTTATGCATTTATTTTGTTGTATTGTAACCGGTAGTTGTTTTTTATGTATTTATTGAGACAAAATAAATGAGATGAAAATACATACTGTATAAGCAAAATTATAAATAATGAATTATTATAAATTATGAACTTAAGAATAACAAAGAAAATAATTTAGAAAATAATAATATACAAGATCAAATTTGTTAGCGTTGGCTGGTCTTTAAAATGTCAATATAGAATACTAATACACGCTAAACAATGTTTCCTTAAATTACGTCAGTTTATAAATTAAATTATTTATTATTTACGAGTCCTCTTCGATCAATTTAACTTAAAATCCATCTTTTCAATTCAATATAGGCTGATAATGATTGAATATTGTGTTAGATTCATTGTTCATAAAATTACAGTGATGGCAACCACTGTTATAGGGTAGCTAAATTTGCTAATCAAATCCTTTCTTTACGTTAGTCTATTGTGTTTAATAAGTAATTTATATTTTAGGAAATGTTGTATATTTTGTTTTAATTTTTTTTTTAATTGTGTTTTCCTTTTGCATGTTTTATTAATATGTCAAGTTTTTCACTCTTATGCCAGAATTGATTGGTCTCAGTTTTAATATGAGATTGTGAATAAAGAACTACCGTACTACTAGATAATATTAATAATAAGTAGCAATAATATGGAATAATAATAAAGAATACTAATAAGTAATAATAATAATATTAATTACAATTACATTAATAACAATATTAATATTAATAACAATATTAATGATAATAATACCATACTAGTAATAGTGATACAAATTATGATAATAAAAATAAATATAATAATGATAATATTGGTAATAATACATACGGTTGACTTATATACCTCAAATTAGACACATATCGAGACATTTTACCTTTGCAAACACACAAATCGCAGCCATTCTCGTCCTGTTGGTGACCGTGCTCACAATAGATCCTGCACAAGACTTCTGGACATAAAGGGTTCTCTGTTCGCAATTTTAATAATTGTAGAAATACAATGATAGTTATTTACTGTATACTTTGAAATTCGGTCTAAAATTATAAGAAAGCTATAACATTTCTAAGGATGAATGTCATCGTGTTCTAAGGTTTATGTTGTCAAATTATAAAACGAGACAATGTTTAGACTAAGACATAGTCTTGATTAAGAAAACCAGAATAGACAATAGAGAGACAGAAACTCGATTTTACATGCAAGGGATGAAACAAATTAAACAATTATAAAAAGTGAAAAAAATAAATGAATTCAGACTCACTACAAACATGTCCACAGCCATTTGAGCAACATTTCATAGAACCTTCGCAATCGTTGTCACTAGAGCACATTTCAGAGCAAATTCCAACGGTGCCATCTTCAGGTGCAGGACAGGAACCCTCTTTTAAATAACAAGGATGGAAATAATGATTTAACTATAGCAGGCCCTACTGCAAATCATGTTAATGTTAATTTTAATGCACAGTCTGTTTTCAAACTCTAAGATGGAATATTATTGTTCCATGCGTTGTCAATTAAAATTGATACTTTTACCCTTTACAAATAATTATGTATGTGATTAATATTTATCTTTATATGTATATATTTCTATTAGTTTTATATTTCTATTTTTGTTAAACTTCAATTTGTATTTTATCATTTGTAATTTGCAGATTGCAATTAAAGAGTATTTGTATTTGTATTTTGTTTGTATTTGATTAATAGTGTAGTACATTATACTGTATCTTACAAACACACCGACAGGAGAGTATATTATTGTTAGTATATTATCATTATCAGCAGCAGCAGCTGCATCAGCATCATCATCATTATCATTATATTATTATTATTATTATTATTATTATTATTATTATTATTATTATTATTATTATTATTATTATTAATATTATTATTATTATCATCGTCATTATCATAATTATTATTATTATTATTATTAATATTATTATTATTATCATCTTCA